ACTGAGGATATTCTCCGCCATGCTGGAGGCGTCGGTTCTTTAAGACCTCAATGCCAATGTTTGCTGTAGGCCACGCCCCTCCTCATGCTCCGGGCAGACGATCGCACTTTTATGAAACGTCTGACCGCGGCTCCCTGACTAGCGCCCTTCTCCCGGGAGCGCGGGGGCTCCACCCCCACCACTGACTCCTTACTGTAACCAAGTCTAGTTCCCGGGCTGGCGGCCAAAACCAGAACTTTAATTCATGGAAACCCGCAGAACAAAATGGAACCGGAGCTGTTTTTTTTTTTTCCCGTAGACGCGGCCTCGCGCTTCCTGTCGAATGTTTTAGTGTCATTTCAGTTCCTAGACGCATAGAAGAATGATGGCGGACAAAGGCCACGGCGGCCCCCTTTTTTGGGAGAACCTTCGCTGATAATTTCCTGTCCCCCTGATCTGTATCCCCCCCCTCCGCTGACCGGACCTTGAGCTACAGCTCCAGAGAGTCTAATGGCGGATGTTTGGTGGGGCCGCGGCGCGGGCGAGCAGGACCTGGTTTATTGTTCTCTCGAAAAACGTAGTCAGTCCCACTATGCCCCTCCCCCTCCCACAATGCATTTCTGCATCCTGTGTGCAATCAGTACCTCATTTTAGCTTTTTTTTATGTTTTTTTTCTGGACACCTGAACACGAAAGTTTGTATCGGTTTTGCCAAATCTACCAGTTTTCTCACCAGCACGCGTCGTGCCAACGTCTGAAGGGAGGGGGCGCTGTGGACTGGTATGTGCCACCATACAATGGTGTCTGAGAGCTCTGGGTGGAAGGAGATCACACTACCTCTGAGCGTCCCGGAGCTTTCATAGAAATCACCCCCCAAAAGACTGGACTCCGTGTCTTGTACGGACTATGAAACGGGACCCGGGGGTTGAGGTTGAGGTTGGTGCTGGCAGTTGTCTGTAGTTCCATACTGGGACCCTTTAAGAACCGCGAAATCTGTGCCGTCTTGTCCACCATTCCTTGGTGTGGTGTCTGGACCAGAAGTGAGGGGAGAGCTCCCCCGCAGGAATGTGGACTATTGC